GGATTTTTTTCCATTCTGTATTTTTTGCGTCGCACATATAAGGAAAACAATATAATAATTAATTCTAAGAAGTCAGACAATATTAATCGAGTCAAGATTCGTAGAAAATAAAATTTCTAAGCAAAAATATGTTAAAATGCAAAATTTAAAGGTAGCTGTAAATACGTGAAACTTCTGAATTTGATGTTTCCTATAAAATTGTTTATTAACGCTTTTCTTAAAACTGACTGAAGCAATTCTGTAACAGGAAAACTAAGTATATAAACATTCTGTTTTTAAAAATATCCTTATATATTTATCAGAAATCTATTGTACTTTTTATCTTGGATCGTTCCCACTAACTGCTCTGTCATTGTTAAGGAGAAAATTTTTATGAATGGAAAGTAAAGCATTAAAGCTGTTATTGAGTCCTTTCAAATATCAACAAGACTTAAGACAAGTTTATAAAATAAATTGCCATTTTTTTTTTAAAAATTGTACGCATATACAAGGATCGCATTTTGATTCTCCTTGTTATATTATAGCCAGTTGAGTGAAAGTTTTTTATAACAGAATTGAATCAATCGATTAAAATCTTTATTATTCTAATGTAATTAAAGTAATTTTATACGTACGTCGATTTACATTGAATTTGTAAATAATTATTATTATGTTTTAGGATAATATAAAGAAATAAATACGAAAATATTGCTACAAACATATATATGACCAAATAAAAAGCTCTTTTTATTGTCTGTTAAATTAATTATTTACTGAGGTAACATATCAATGTTGAAATGACACGACATTTATAATTTACATTTTATTGAAGATTCCAAAGGAACTGGTTAAAGTGTTTACTTTCTAATTATGAAAGAAAATTTGTGATAAGTAATTAGTATACAGTTCTTTTAGTTAATCAACAGAATGCCATCAAAGTTAAGTGAATAACTAAATCAACAAACGGGGAACTTAACATTTTGTTCTTCGAAACTCAAGTTTACACTGAATTCAAATTTCCAAGAAATTTACTAAAAATTATAGTTAAAATAGCGAAACATTATCAAAGTCCCACTTCTTGCATTATCAAAGCCTCGCCTCTTACATTATCATTTTCATGACATCATTTAAGAACTTCCTATAGGCATCAAATTTCTTGAGCTAGTCTTAATATCTAAATTTTGTCTAAAATTTATACAGACAGAGGGATAAGAGAGAAGAATCACATTTCATCTCTATTCAATCGTCTTTATTCAATAAAATGTTTTATAATTCATCATACTATCCTGTAGACAGCTTCAAGTTCACTATTCCTGTACACGCAAATTCAATTAATCCAGTGACTAAATTTTTTTTCTATCCAGCTTTAATAGAAAAATAATATCTACAGGGTTTATGGAAAGATTTATTCCCCCTTAACCTTAAATTCTAATTTTAGATTTAGACGTATAACAATTCATATATGTGCGTCTTTGATATACTCGTATATGAATCAACAAACCTCCCATTAACTATTTCTTTTAAATTTTTATTGCCCACTTTTCATATGTGTATATCATTTGTCATTTCAACCCGTTTCATTTTTATGATTTCTTCTTTTAGATTCCCTCCAACTTTGTAACGGAACTTTCTGAAAATCATTTAATAGAGACAAAATCAGCTTTTGGATTATTAAGGATTTTGTTTGGAAAATATAAAAATGATGCAATTTTTTTTTTTAATTTAATATATTTTTCTTTTGTTTTATTTTTTTTGTGTTTTTTGTTTTGTTTTTTTTTCAATAAATTAGACGGACCTATGAGCTAGGAAGTACAAAAGTGAATTTTTCTTTTTTAAATTTTTACAAATTTTTCTTAATAAAATTTGTTTGTTTTTTTTTTCTTCTTTTTAAATTTATTATCTATGTACTTTAATTTTATAATTTATAAATAAATTTTATTTCATAATATGGCTTAATTACAATAATTCAAAAATTTAAAGTTTTTCCAGGGAAGTAAAATTTATGAAAAAAAAAAAATTTTTTTTTTTGCAATTTAAATGTTTTCAAAATGAAAGCTAAATAAAACTCAATAAATTAATCAAAAACCAAATTAAAACAAATTTTTTAAAATTAATAAAATTATAAACTAATCACAGCCATTAAAACTTTTATTATAAAAGAATAAAATGATTTTTTTTTTGGTTTAACTTTTGTTTTAATTTTCAATAATAAAAAAAAATGGAGGAAAAATAACCTCACACTTTGACTGAAAAAATCTTATATTTTTTAATTAAAAATTAAATTAATAAAAATTTTTCAAATTTATCAAAATTTTTAACAATTTTTCCGCTTTTAAATCTACAAGCAATTATGAAGATTGTGGCCTTCATCCAGTAAAATTCTAAATTTGTGTTAAATATTAAGTATTTTTTTTTAAAGTCATGCTAAATTTTGTAATTTTTTTAATTGTTTAAGTAATATTCATAATTTATAGCTTACTAGAAAAAAAAAATTGAATTTAATTTTTAATTTAATAAATAATTGTCAATGCCAAGAGCCAAACTTTTTCAAAATTATTTTAATTCTCATAAATTTATAAAATATATTTAAATTTTTAATTAATTCCAATTAATATTCAACTATTATATAATAATTTAATGTTAAAAATAATTGATAATTGTTTTATAATTAAATTTAATTTAAATACAATTAATTTATGATTTTAAAAATTTTAATTTCAATCTATATTACATGCATGTATGTATTGTTGAATTCTATTTTTTAATTTTCAATAATTTCATTTATCATCAGTCAACGTGTTAAAATATTTTAAAATTATTATTTATGTATTTATTTATTTTTTTAACTTTAATTTTGAAATTTTTAAAAATTATAAATCTTGCGATATATTATTTATATATATCATCTATCTAAAATTAATATAATTATACATTTTGGTTTGTTTTTTTTTTTTAATATATTTTTAATATTATTTTTAATAAGTAGCTATATCACAAATTTTATTAAATTTTTTATCTTATTTTTTTTCAAGGAATAAATATTTTCCTTTTCTTATAAATTTTTATAATAATTTCGAATTTTTTCAATAATTTTTGTTTTAAGTACAGCCCTGACTCACTTAAATTGAATAGGTTTTTACAATATATTTGAAATTTAGGCTCAATATAGGATAAATTATTTATAATTCAATTAAATTTTTTTTTAATATTATAAGAGCACTATAAAATTATTGATATTCATTGAAATGAGTATGGACTGACTGGTTAAATATTATTGAATTTATATAATATATATGGCATATTATGTAATTTCATATAGGTAATTTTTATACAAAATACAATTTATAACATAATTATTTACTTGAAAATAACAAAATATTTTAATTACAATTAGTTTTTTTTTTATAAATTTATAAAATATGAAAAATACATTTTTAATTTTTTTTTTTTTTGTTTTTCTTAATTAAAACATAATTATTTTGCGGATTTTATAAGTATAGATTTTGTTTTTTCAATTTTTAAATAATCTCATTTAATTATTTATGTAGAATAAATTTTTCTAAGCCTTAACAGCCATTTTGGTTTTTCAATAGGCTCATTTTTTATATTATGTATTATTGAATTGTAAACTTTTTTAAATATATTTTTTAATTTAAATTAATTTTATTTTAATATAAAAGAAATTAATTTAAATTTATTTTTATTAATCAAAAATATTGTAAAAGCAAAATTAAATAGAACTTTGTTAAATGTTATGAATTTTGAATGGAAATTTTTCAATAAAAATTAATGAATGAAATTTTATGAATTACAAACTTAATTATTGCTATATAATTAAATAATATATATATATTATTATTTTCATAACATATTCTAATTCCATTTTTAATCGTCTTATTTTATTTTAATAAATTACTAATTAAGAATAAATATTAAAAAAAAAATTCTTTCATCTCTTGTAAATAATTCCCAATATAAATTTTGTCATGAAAAAATATACAAATATTTTTAATAAATTTAATTATATACAATATATTCGTACATGCTTTGTTGTTCATTTAAATAAAACTCTTCCGTATTCTATCGCTCACATAAACATCATAATGGAGATTTATATGCACACAATTTATATACAACATCATGTTATAATATGTGCATACATATATGATTTGGTTTTATAAAATGTTTATAATATAATTTTTATGTGTTTGCCTGTGTCTTTTGATTTAATTCATATTATTTTCGTTCGCGAATTCTATTATTATAATATTTTGTCCTTGAATTTTAACATTATAAACATTATACCCGTTTCCCTTAAGACAACTTTCATATTTTTAACATGAATGGAAAATATTATGTTAATAATATTACAAACAATATATTATACACGTACATATAAACAAATTGTGACATTGCTATATATGAAACGTGTGTTATGATTTTATGGCATACATACGTGTTACTTTAGTATCATAAAATCCATACAGTAGAAATCAATTATAATGACATTTTGGTAATCAAAACAAATGAGAATCATTTAAGTAAGTAAAACGAAAATTGATATTTTAATTGAATTATCGCAGAAAAATTATATATAAAAAATTTTATATATGTATGTAAAATGTGTCGAAACTAATTTGGAAAATTTACAAACTAGTCTTTTATATAATTAAGCAAATATAATTAAGCAAAAATCAAGCAGATAAAAACAAAATTTAAATTGAAAATTTTCCATCAAAATTAATTTAATTTTGTATAACAGTTTTATAATTTTGCTTTATATTCTCATAATATGTTTTTTTTATATTTTGGTATACTATTTTTTTTAATAATATTTAACAAAAAAAAAAAATAAATAAATAAAACATACAAATTGTCTTCCTATTTATAGAAAATTTGATCCTTATTGCTTAATCCTTTATCTCAAATAATGTTCTTTTTTTTTACATAAACAGAACATGCACAATTTAATTACTTGTATATATATAAAAGTTCAAATTATATACATAATTCATGCATATTTGTTCGTAAATATAAAACGATTCAAAATCCTTTTATAAACTTAATTTGTTTTTTCAAATTTTTCTTTTTTTTTCTCCAAAAACAAAAAAAGTATAAAATATAATATATATATAATTGTACCTATATATACTGTACTATGTTACATATTTATGTACATTTGTATATATTATTTTCAATGGTACTAAAATATTGTATATATATATATATTATTTTTATTGAGAAAATATTAAAATGAATATTGTTGTTATATTTTCCATTTTGTTTTTCTTCCGTTTTAATATTCTTGTGTTACTCTCAATTCCACATTATTTTTTATTCTTGTTAATGATGATGGTCACAGAGATGCAGTTGCTGTAAATGCTTGTCTTCTTTTTAATACACGTGATTTATGTAATTCACCTTTATGACATGGTACAACAGTACCTTGATTAATTAATAATTGTTGTTTTGTACCATTATTATTAGCGCCAATTAATGTACCAATCATTTTTGTTACAGAAAATTTTCTATGTTTAACTGGTCTTGCTCTTGAGTCAATTAATAATTTTTCAAATGCTTTATATAAATTTGGTGAATTTTCAGCTACAGAAATTTCACAAAATCCTATAGAATGTGTTGCAGCTAATGAAGCACCTTCTGTTTCATTAACCTGGAAATTAATAAAAAAAAAATTTTTATTATAAAAACTTTTATTTCAAAATAGTTCTTTACTTTAAAACTTCTTAATATTATGTGAAAGTCATTATATATATAAATATATTGCTCATGATTATGCTTATCTTTTCTTTTTATTTAATTGCAATAAATTGACATTCAAATTTTTAAAACTGACGTGCCACACATGTGCAATTTCAATTTAAACTCAATAATTAAAATTTTTATCTCTCTTGAATCAAACTATATTACAATTATCGAGATTGTATTAAAATTCATAAATAAAAATATTAAAATTTTTGCATTAATTTTAAGGTTTTCCTATTAAGACCTTGAAGTATAAATGAAATCATAAATACTAGGTACGTATATCGTACATGTAATACTGAGTATTATTCATATTTTACTTATCTCTTTATATTAAAATTATGTGGTTACCCACGCAAAAACAAAAATAATAATTTGGCATTTAAAATTTATTAATAATTTATTCTACTTATATTTCCTTTATTATTAATTCAGTATTAAATTTTGAAATATGCATACATACTATAATTATTTTTCATCATTTATTTTAATATAAGTAACTACTTTAAATAATTTGAGAACTTCTTATATTCTTGTAATATTCATAGGACTTAATTTATTGAAAATTTTCCATCTTCATACATGAAATTTCTTGACATAAAGAAATTTTAATACTAATTAAAAGCATTATTTTTAGTAATTATCTTGTAATTGGATTATATAATAATAAAGTTCTAATTTCAATTGTAATATAATATTATTTTGGTATATATAATATATATCCTAATGTTTACAGCAGATATACACTCCATATATTGGCACACGATAAGTATAATAAACATAATATATGTATATGTATATAGTTGCTTGCAAAACACCATATAATTTTCCCAATTATGTCAATTTCAATATAAAGTTCACTTAAAATAAAAATGTCCTTGAAATAATTCTCCTCTATACTAGATATCGGACAAAAAAGAATAATAATAATATATCGTGTTGCATTTTTACTTGTATACACATATAGAAGAATTGTTTTTATAATATAAGAAAAAAAATTATCGTATAATATAATATTGAAAATAACTTAACATGTGTCGCCGCATATACAAAAACACGTACTACATTTTCATTATAATGGTGTGTACACAATTTATAAAGCTAAAGAAAATAAATTAAGACATGAATTTTTCAATTTAATTGCATGAAACTTCAGAACTTATTTATTTCATGTTATACACGTAAAATATATGAATGAAAATCAAAAATTCACTGATGAAGTATCCAAGTGATTTCATGATAAATTTATAAAAAGAAGATCATATAGCAATATATTCACATATTATAGAGTTGCAAATAAAAAATAAAAGAATCTGAAATGATTTTGCTTTTAAAATTTTACAAATCTTATATATATATATTTAATGTATAAATTTTCATTTACTTCAAAAGGATATCAGACACACACTTTTTTAATTGCGATAAAAACACAAATTTTTTTTTTTATTTTGAAAAATGGAATAAAATTTAAACCCTTACTGAGCTTAAAATATTATCTTTTTCTTTATGTAATATACATATATACATACAATATAATATATAGACCTATATATATGTTGAATATATATAGTTTCATAGCCCAATATGTTGAATGGATTGTGTACACACACATACGTTATTTTTTATAATTGAGTACACAAAATCTATCGCAAAGCAAGGCAGCAAATAAATAAAATACTAAAACTCTACTATATTATACGAAATATTGTTTTATTAAAAAGGATACAGAAAATTTATTACTATACAATGTGAATTTAATCAAACTATTATACGCATTTTCACATATGAAATTATTACTATATATGAATATCCTTCTCCATTACTTTATATTATTTTTACACTTAAAGAGGTGAACTAAATAAATGAATGAATACATATACATATTACATAATATTTTTATTCGATCCGGACATTAGAAACAATTTTTTATGTTTAACAATGACATACTTTTTTTTAATGAAGCATATCTGTATACCTAAATACAAACATTACAATACCATAGCTTATAGCTCGTGCACTATTTTAATCGAAAAAGGCACATACTATAAAGAAAAGCATATGATAAAGATTAATATTAGATATAGACCTGTTATTATTTTATATTTTTTTTTAAAAAGTAGGTTATGTCAACAATATTTTAAAATTTAACTACACAACACCAAAGCTCATACAATATTTTAGTATACATGTAACTATTTCTATACATGTATAGGTCCACGTGTAACTAGATATTTTAAAATTGATTCCAACCTTAATATATAATCACAAAAACAACCTATACAAAATTTTTAATATGTTCTACAAACAATATTCTTTTTAAGAAATAAAAATAATCTTATGTTACGTGCGAAATTCATCAAATTTTCATTCATTTTCATAAAATAATGAGCACAATAATGATTGCTATTTCAAAGAAATTAAAATGCAAAAATTATTTACCATTATTTTTTTATTGAAAACACCAAGTATGTATATACACATGTAAATAAATTAATCAATAGGTGTTATTTTTCTTCAATAAACAAAAAAAAAAATTTTATTTTCTAACAATTTCAAGAAAATTTCTTAGAAATTCGTGTGGTTTTTGTTTTCATACAATAAAATGTTCATTAATTTAGATAAAAAAAAAAATAAAATAAAATTTTATCATATTATTATGTCTTGTATGTATGTATATAGGCCTACATTAACATGTGATGTACATAACAAGGAAATTTTAATAAAATTTTTAATTATAGTTTTTTTAAATGGAATTGACTACTTATTTTCATAAAACATATCAACATTATTCTATATGTTTGTATTTGCAATATATTTTTGTATTTCATCAGAATTTTTATATTACCAAAAATTAATAAAAAATAAATACATATTATTTTTGAAAACAACACATTTAATTCGATATGTTTAACATGAAATTTACAATTTCATAAAAAATAATATTACAATGCTGGCCTACAATATTTCAAAATTTCAGTAAATTAATAATTCAATAATTTAGTATAGCGTGTTCGATGTTAATTTAGAATATTGTAGTAAATGCGAATAAAATAACTATAATTAAATATTTCTTTGATATTGCAATAAAATAATCTTCATTAATAATAGATATAATCAATATTATTAATATTTGTAATAAAATATTTTAATAACCAAATTACACACATTTAAAATCATGTTATTTACTTATATACTTATATATGCATATATACATAAATATAATTTTAATATATTTTTTTTTATATTCAAATTAATATAAAATTAATTTCATGGTTGAAATTAAATAAATTTCATGCTTATTCTCCTGTAATTTATATTAAATAATTACATACATTCATATATGTACTCGTATATTAAAATGTACACTCGGATTATGTAGGTGGAACATGTAAAATATTCAATTACAAAAATATATTTTCAAAATTGCGGTTAATTTTCATTTTATCATAAAGTATAAAATAAAAATTTTTAAATACAAAATTATTGTATTAAAAATTGAAAAAAATATTCCCCAAAAAATTCTTTAAAGAAAATCGAATGCACGTGTAAGAGAATTATGAATGCCAAATTTACAAAAATAATAAAAATGCATTTAAATCTCAAACTGGAAGCTTCTTAGATTGTAAAATGACAACATGATAAATATTTTCAAATTTATAAGTAAATAAAATTCATTCAATTTCAATATTGATGAAACTTTGGAATACGAACAAATTTTTGTATTTTTTTGCAAAATTTGAATGACTTTCACATAATTCAAAAAATATTAAAATAAATTATTTGAAATTTTACATTGAAAAACAACTTACCTCTCTTAAATGATCTAATTCACATTTATTAGCAATTAAATATGCTAGTGGAGCATTTTGTATTGATTTTAATTCAGCTAATGATCTAGAAGCATATTCAAAACTACTACGATCCGTAATACTATAAACAATCATACAAGCATCGGCCCATTGTATCTGTAAATTCAACAAAAATAAACAAAATTAATAAAAAAATTTTTTTTTCTGTTTATTTTTTTTTTTAATTTAATATTAAAATTCTATTTTCTATTAGAAAAATTGTATGTGTGTAAACATTTTGTATGGTACAAATTGAATGTATAAAACAAAAACCAAAAAAAAAAATAATAATGTTTTTAATCTTGTACTTGTCAATATTTTTCTAATGTCTAGTACAAGAAAAGTTCATGTACATTTTCATGTGATATAATACCATATATATATATATATATATATAGAGATCTAGTGTATAAAATTATATTCAAAATATTGATGAGTCAATTTTTAAAATGTTTTTATTTTAAAATTTAAATACAAAAAGTAAAAAAAAAAAAATTGAATATGAACTTTTTATGTGCCAAGTTTAAATACTGGTCATCCTTGGCATTCCCGAAAAATATCGTAATTAGAATTTTCTTTTTGGTTCTTTCTATTTTTCTTTCATAATTTTCTCTTTGAGAATTTTTTTTTTTTTCTTAAACGTTTTAAATTTTCTTTTTTCTTTGCAACTAAAATTTTAATACTAAAAATAATAAAATAAAATAAAAAACAAACGGTTTCATTTCTCACCTGTTCCATAGGAAATTCATTTTCATTTTCTGATGAAATATCAACTACTTCAACTTCTGTTAAACCAGCACTATCTAGTGATATTGTTTGTTTATATAATAGATCTGTATTTGATCGATATTCACCTATAAATCTTCTTGTTAAATAACGTACTGTCAATGCTGTAAATGAATATAGAAATAAAATTCAATTATTAATTATATTTGTTTGATATATTTTTTTTAATAACATTAAAATATTAAGTTGGGTATTATTTTGAAAAATATTCAATTTAGTATGTGTGAATACCAATGAACCACTGCATATTGTATCTGACAGTATCATTTAGTATGTATAGTGCATGACATTAAATTATGGAAAGGTTTCTATTTAATCTAAAGGCATTTTGGATTTTGTTTAGGTATTACATTACAATTAATGAACTATCAAAAAGGGAGAATAAAAAACTTGTTTTACTCTTTGTTTTACTCTTGCCTTAAATATCTCATGTTTATTTATAATAGTCAATTTATGTCTTGTCAACACTTAACAAATTTCTAAGCAAAATTGAAAATTTTTCTGTCATAACATCATTAATGCGTCAAAATAATAAAAGAGCGTCATTTTAAAATCATTCACAGAAAAAATATTTTAATTTTGAATTTTCACATACAATTGACTTTTCATGTAGGTTTGTACATAGTGGAGAAATTCATGTAGCTATTTAAAAAATTGGATGATATTTTTCTTGCAGAAATTGAAATAATTTTATTTGCAAAAGCAAATACATTTTCAAATTATGATACATGACTTTTTTTGAATGTGTATTTTTATTTCACGAAAGAAAAATACAATCTTAAAATACAAAAAGTGACAAACTTAAAAATGAAAATTTTTAATTGAAAATTGAAATATTACGCATAATTTCAGCAATATGTTGACGTAAATTGAATGAAACATAAACTAATAAAGATTAATAATTAATTGAAAATTTTTAAAAATGATAAAATATTTGTATTTTAATAATGTTAAATCGTAATTCTTGAACAAATATTTTGAATTAAAAGATTTTTATAAACTTATTTATATGTAGTGAAATTTTTAATGAATTTATTTTGAAATTTTCAACATCTGCCATTTTTTGTATTGGCAAAATATCAAATGAAATTATTTTCTTTCTGACGACAATATTTTATATTCATAATACCCCGTTATTTCATATTAAAATTGTGAATATTTTCAAAAAGAAAAAAATTATTATTTTTATTATGAATTCAAAATAATTTTCTTTCTTGATAATTGATTATAATTTCTTGTTTTTAAAATGTCATTATGAAAATGTAAAATATTGACATAATTGCATTTACAAAAATGAATCAGGAGATGTGCATTTTCGTTGCAGTTCTTTGAAGTATGCTTCGGGCTTATTATTACAAACAAATTTTTGTTAAATTTTTATTGTAAATTGTTCTATATTATACAAATTGTAATTAGTGCTACTAATTGATCTCTACCGTATGTCTTTGATGTCACCTAAATATACATACATAATATATTTTTTACATTTTACAAAATTTTGTTTTTATAATTAATTATGTATGTGTAATTGGTAATTGTAGATAAATTTTGCCTATAAAATAATTAAGAATTGATTGGATTAAGATAAATAAACATTTTAATTTTTTGTAGTCATGCCTATTCACAATAATCTTTAAACTAGTTTCTATAATGACATTATATGCACATGCATAATGTTAATTTTCAGGTTTAATTTAAATTATGATTTTGAAAACTAGAATATTAACTTCAAATCGGGTCAATGTAGTTCTTGTATTTGTGTTAAGTACTTAAATAATATAATGTTAAAAATTCTTAAAAATTTCTTTATAAAATACTAACCTGATTTTCCAACATTGTCACTTCCTAAAACTGCAATACGTACCTTAGGTACGTTACTCTTGTCATCGTTCTTCATTTTCTAAAATGACAAAAAAAAAAATATTTTGATTAAATTTTTGAATAATTAAATAAATTTTTTTATATATTTTAATATACATATGTATATATATGTATATAGTTAATAAAATTAAATAATTAAATTTTATATAATTCCTTTGTTTATAAAATAAATCTGCAAAGTGGTATTTTTACGTAAATATTTAGATACGTCAAAAAAATAAATGAACATAACAAAAATTTTTAATATTATTTTGTAATTTAAATAGATTTATATTATTTCCTTTTCTTTGATTTATAAATGTATGTATATACATATACATCAGTACAATTATATTATTTAATTAATTTATGTGCATGAGTACATAAAATTCGCTTCGCCAAATAATATAAATCATACAAAATATAATCAAAAAAAAGTAATATTAATAAAATATAAATATATGTCCATATGTATACGTGTATATACATATATTTATGTAGAAATTAAAAATATAAATAATTTATTAAATATTTTTAATAAATACATAATGATACTCGTATAATTTTCATATGTGTGCGTTTATGCGTGTTAATATTTGTTATAAATTTATAATGTATGCTTGTATACTAAAATACCATCTATGATTTTGTGATTAATTTTAATTTCATTTTTAATTTTTTTTTTTTGTTTTTTTTATTGCTAAAAAATTTATGTGGAAAAATTTTAACAAAAATGACAAATGACAGAATCATTTGAGGTTGGCGCCATAAATATGAAAATAGAAAGAAAATATTGTGAAGGGAATAAAAGAATTTTTTATTTTGTGTTTTTTTTTCTTATTTTTTTTAATTTTACTACCCGAATTTTCTATATTTATAATACATAATATTATTTTGTAATATGAAAATTTATATTTATTATGTTATAAAAATTCATATAAAAATTTTTCTTTTAAATTACATACAATCATATACATATGGGTAGAAATGCATAAAAATACTCGTATCCTACGAATAGAATGAATTTAAATTACACGAAGTAGATGGCAACAATATTAAAAATTTTGGTGTAGTAATTAGAATTACGAGGCTATTAAGCATATATGTATATTGAGCATTGGATAAACGTTGAAGGATGCCTGAATATTAAAACAATGTATGTAAGTAAATGTAAATTTTAATAATAAGAATATGAAAAACTAATAAATTATTTTATATATAACTATTCATTTAAAAAATTGCTTTTAAAATTTTAGTATAGTTAAAATATTAATTTATTTAATATTTTGTTTACAAATTTATTAAGTTCAACAATTTTTTAACAATTTTTGTATAAGCAAATTTTAAAGTAGATCGTTAATAATTTATAAATAAAGCAAAATTTTTCATCTATAATGGTATTTTTCACATACACTTATTTTGTGTGAAAACATCAGCAATTCAAATATAAATATATTAAAAAAAATATAGATAGTAAAATTAAAGTTTTAAATAAAAATATTTATTTTGAAATTTTTGAATATTTTCTATAATATTTATATTTAAAAATTTTAAATCTGTGCCTATGTTTATGCAATTATTCTATAATCATTTAAAATTTTGAATGTTGCGATATTTGAAGCATTTCATAAAGTTTAAGCTACGTATAGACTCTGAGTAAAGAATACAAATTAAATTGAAGGCATTCTTTAATATTTTGTATATTAAGTAAATTTACTTTATAATATAAGTTGCTATATGTTGGTAATCAATATTTTAAAACAATTGCGTATATTAAAATCCAGTCATTTTAATATAAGTATATAACAATGTTTCTAACAAATACTATGGGTAGCGCCTTACAAATACGTTATAAAATGCAAAAGAATTTACTAAGATTGTAGATTTTCTACAACCGGATTAACAGTACACCGCGACCTCGTATAAGAATCTATTGTATCGCCACTTCTGAGCGCAGGACATACACTCTCCTGATGATCTCAAGCAAATTGTGAGGCCCGGAAAACCGTAACTCTGCCGGCGTGAGAGCAAAGAATTTCCTAAAGCAAAATAATAATTATTTTTATATTTTAATATTTTTTTCCTAAATTTAAAAATTTCGAAACATATTTTTCCAAAAATTATTAGTCATTACTTAATTTTTTGTTGTCGCCAGTGGTTTTTATACATTTGCAATACTAAAAATGCAGACACTAGAATTTCAATTTTTTCACTTAAATATGAGAAAAAAAATGAAAAATAAATAAATAGTACCATCATGGGCTTTACCTAAATATTTATTCCACTTAATTACAAAAGTTTATTTTATAGGAAGGAAAATAATTATTATAGTTTTATTTTTGTTTTTGTTATTTTTTATTTTAAATTCCTAGCATAAATGAGTAGGAATTTTTTAATTTTTTTTTTATTTTAAGATTCCATAATTTTGTTGTTGCTTTTCTTCTTAGTATTTTATACACAAAATTTATTTTTAACATACAAAGGTATGCAAAAATTTTTTTAAAAATAACTTTTTTGGACCAATGATATATGAGGAATTAAAGTTTTTATGGCTATTCAACTTAATGGCAGTACCAATAATTCTTAAAATTTGGATTACATTTTTTATTCTTGTTGTCGTTTTTCTTCTTTTTTCTGAATGGTTTATGGCCGATTTTTCATATCTCGATTTTTTTTTTTTTTTCATTTTATATGTGTACGTGTTTATGTTTATATGAGGATGAGCACTTAATCCAAAAATTCCATAATATATTAATTTTATATATGTGTGTAAGTATGTATGAAACAAATGTACATATTATAAAATTTCTTTTCCAACAAGCAAAATAAAAAGCGACATTCTTTCAATTTTTAATTTCTCACTTTTTGGTGTTTTTATGTTTTTCAAAAATTAAAAGTGATTTTTTGGCAAAATATCAAAGAATTTTTTCCTTCTTTAAGACTTTGTTCTGCATTATTATTTTAGTTTTGATTTTTTTTTTTTCGGGGTGATAATGAAGAAATATTTATTTCTTTTCATATGTAAATTTTATTATTCAATTTGGGTTGCGAATGATTTTTGAATTGCACTTTTTAATATTTTTATATGCAGATACAAAATATTTCAGATTTCTATTCTGAAAAGAAAATCAATGGAATTCTCATACCACTTATATTATTTTTTCTTTTATTTTCTTATGATTTTTTGATCCAAAAAATTTTGTACTTAACATAAATTTATGGAAAATGCCCACTTATATTTTATACTCATTTGTTTCGCTATATAAAATATTTTTTGAAAAATTTAAGAATATCTTTAAATGATCGCGCATTAATAAATAATTAATTTTTTCGGATTAAGAATATTACTATTATCTGAGCATAAATAAAAAAAAAATTAAAAAATAAATTATTAGTTGTATATATATATGCAATATTTATTCCCTCTATAATTTTCGTCGTTCTTATGAAAAATTTAAAATTTATATATAGATATGTACATATGTAGTAATATATTTCATATACGTATATGTGCATAAATATATCATAATTTAAGAGTTTATGTGGTTCATTTAATTATATAATACATAGGGGCTATTAATTTTATGATAATTTTCGATTAAAATCTGGTTACAATAATATTAAAGGGACATTAACCGAATTAAATGGAATATGAAAAATATATTATATGATATTATTTGGTCACATAAATTAGATAATTAATATACATGTGTACAAAAGATTTAGAATTTTATATATAGGCTTACTATTTTATTAATTGCATTGTCTAGCCATAAAGCATTTTTTGTGGTATTAATTTAATTTAAATTTTATTTAATATATTTTGATGGATAATTATTTATATAAAAAAATTTCTATATTATTAGATCTAATTCAATGGAATTGCATTAAAAATTTGTTAGATTAATATATATGTATGTATATATAAATTCTTATACTGATAGGAAAGATATAGTAATATACAATTTATAGTTAAAAGTGCCTTCTATAATTGAAAAGAAAAAAAAAAAACCAATAAATATGATTCATTGAAAATTTTTTAGCATAATTCCCAAAGCAGACATTTTTCATTTTCTATATTACATTCCATTTAACTATTTCATTATAATAAATAACTATACGTGTATACTATGTTATAAAATGGTAGACTATAATCCTTTTACTTTATACAACAATTTTATTATTATGTTGCCGGAATTTTCATAGTACTTAACAAGGACATTTTATACATATAATAAACAAATTTTTGTTATACTATTTTTTTTTTATTTTTTTTTTCTTATTTTCACATAATCCTTCTAATGTTCTGATATTTTTCTTTATAATTTTCTCATATTATAATATTATGTTGATTCATAATATGATATACACATTTACAAACTGTTATACTGGTATTATATTGAACATTATTACTGTATAAATGTAATAATAAACTTTTTTTTTTTTTTGTAAACAAAAGCATTTTATTTTATGGGAAAAAACACAATTAACTATACTAAATTTTTCTTGGAAAATTTTTCTAATATAAACGAATGAATTATAAAGAATTAACATTGAAAATAAATTGAGTTTTGTACTTGTCATTTGTAAGGTTATAGAAATTTTAAATGTATACACATATACAAGAAAAATGTATATGATATTGTACTTTCATAGAACAATGTGGAGTATACATTGTTTAGAGGAAATAATTTAAAAAATAATTTTTAAATAATTTAAGACTAGATGAGAGGATTTAAAAATTAATATTTACCAATCCAATATAGTAAGGGACACAAAATTAAAATTGAATACAAAATATCAAAACATATTTTATAAACGAACAATAAGTGGAAAAAATGCCGAATAATGAGGAAATATGCCGACAAATACAATCAATTGCGCTCTTATTTTACTTAATTTTTACTTAATTTAAAACTAGAATTTCTGAACTTCAATTAATAACTATGTTATAAAAGGAATTTTCTTTCATAATGTATAGTTCACTAAATTCAATAAAAAAAATTTTAATGTAAAAAGAAAAAATTTCATGTTTTTAGT